TCTTTCTGCCTTTCACAGATGAACCAAGCTCACCCCAGGCCCCTGCCGAAATCTGACAGTATGAATTGGAGAACAATAATTTATGTTATTTTATTGGTGAGCCTTACTGTAGTCAAAGCCTTGCCTAGAAGTTATCGGGACATAGGTAAGAATATATCTCATATTTTTACTCTATTCTTCTGTATAATACTGATGGCTGCAACTTTGCATGCAGTTGTTTGGTACCTCACTTTGCCACTGCCAGTTCTGTGGGGGCATTTTCATATGCGTCGAAGGTATACAACAAAACTGCATCCATATACATTTTTTTATGATCAACCTTAGATGTGTTGCTTCTTAATGGCTTGAGAATCTATGTAGCGTGCAGGATGGCCAGTGATTACTGAGAGGGTCTATTGAAGGGTAATTTAATCCACAGGGGTGTGGTTGCACCACTGATTTTAGGCACGCCAAAACCTGCTGAAGTAAAGCCTGTGGTTGTTCCAGCCCCCCTCCACCGTCCATGAGGAGCAAGACAGGGAAGTCCCCAGAGGGATGCTACCTCCAGGTGGCCATTCAGAGTAGCTCAGTTACACCATTGCTCTGCATCATCCTTTGGAGGGGTCTTACTTGCTCTTCACCAACTACTGAAGGAGCCTACAATGACCGCACGTCACTAAGGTTAACTGCCTGAAATGAGAGAACCGAAAACCACCAATAGTGTGCGGGTCAGATGCTTCTGTCACATTACACGTTGTTAGCATTAGACAACTTTTTTTTTCAGCTTTATAACTCCTAAATGTACTAATTGACCCAACAGCATAGAAGAGAACCAATATATTTATTATTATGCTACTTACCTCACGTTACTATCTCAGTTGACACCCCTGCATTACTCAGAGGGAGAAGCTGGCTCATTTCTTTGATTTGTTTAATCGTTTTACACTGGTCTCAGCCCTACTGACGAGCATGAGAGAGTAACATCTTCATTTGGGAGTAGGCCCCTTATTTTAAAATAAATCTCTCCGAGTATTCTCTGACAAACAAGGAACTCAAAAAACTATTGCATTTAGGTTTTCCCATTAATAAAGGCCCAGTGGCAAAGGAAAAGTATTTGCACAGGATCTTCACATAGGTTGGACACATCTGTTTTCCCCTGGGCCAGTTCACAACACGAACAGAGGGATGCAGCTCTGTGAATTTTTGAGGAGTTTTACCTACCAATATAGTCCTCAATTTATCCCATGTTTTCTGCACAGAAAATCCTTCATCTGTAGCTAAGGAGTGGTCAAGCACACCTTATATAGCTAAGGCAAGGTTAGAAGGTGTTTTGTAAGGTGCTTATTGAATGATGTGAAGCGCTGAGCGCCCTCCAGGTTTTAGCGTATTCCTCCCCACAACGCTTGAGGGAGGCAGGGAAATTATATTGGCCCTATTACGTTGTAGGTCAGAAACAAATAGTTTCACATTCTCATGCTTAAGTCAAATAGGAAGTTAAATCTTACGCCTTCCTACTTCCAGTGCTAGTACCCCAGGTACCAAATTATCTTTCTCCAAGACTCCGGTACCAAAAAAAAAAAGGTATTTGATGAAGCATTTAGTAAACATTTTTGATTCAAATTATCTTGTTTTTCAGAGGAAAAAAACAGCATTGGCCAACGTTTTTCTCAGCTGCAGGAGACTAATTTTAAAGCCATGTAAGTTGCCCAGGTAAAGCGTCTGCTTGCAAATTTGCTGCCACTGAAGGTCCTTGTGTCATTTGGAAACGGGCATGTACGGCGAGTCAAACGCTCCCCCGTCCCACCAGCCCAGCCCACGCCAACTCAGCCCGCGGCGATAGGAATCCGCCTACTGCCTCGCGCTTAAGAGTTGTATAATTAGTTTTTAGGTAGCCAGCAACAGGTTTAATGCTGTGTGTTCTTCTCGTAGTGCCATGATCATGTTTGCTCAGTACGTGCCAGGAGGCACGTTTGGCAAAGCGGTTAAAATGGCTGAAGATGTCACTGGCCTTGCCAAAAGATGTGCCGCTGCAGCCAGAGACAACCCCGATTGTCGGAAGCCTTTGGTGAGCACGTTTATGCTTCTAACGGGGCAAACATTTTCAGTAGCGACTTGTAATTTCAGAGCCCTGGCATGCATTTTTCCAAAGAGGCACGAATAAGTTATTGAGACGTGACATCCTTGTGTGCGCACGTTTGGCCTCGTTGACTCTGTCGTTCTCCAGGCTCCCACCTGTAAAGCACCTCAAGGCAAGCAGAGGAAAACAAAGCCCCTCTCCTGCCCCCACCCCAAATATCACAGCATCTTTTGAAATCCTTGACCTGTATCTTTCTAAAAAATGCTCAGAAAGTTGTGCTTTTATGGCTGGAGTAACAAAATTCAGGAGAAGCCAAATTAGATATTTCTAGCAAACGCGATGTTGATAGGCATTTGCTCCACTCCATTAACTCACAGGCCTGGGTCATGATGGTGTCTGCTCCAGCCCACTTTTGGAGCAGGCAGACCGAGTCATGAAACGCGAGTATCAGCCTGCGTTACGACTCATTTCTAATTTGTTAGACACACTGAAACAAACTCTGAATGAAGCCAGTTCCCAGCTGAGGCGTGACTGACAGCTGGACCTGAGCATCGCTACTTGATGAACAAGAACCAAGGCACTTCTCATTGCAGGAACCTGACTGCAATGAGATAACACAGAGCCCGCTCTGCTGCACACTGCGGTATAGACATCAATCAATCATCTTGATTGTTACCAGGAAAAAGGGTCTAAATAATAAGCCCAGAGCGTTTGAAAACCATTCCACTTTGATGTGTGTCTTGGCATAACAGTAGGTATCAGAGTCTGAGAAATCATCACTTTCGGGTTTTAGAGGTCAGCCTGATTTTCCCTGCAGTCAAAGCAGGAGGTAATAAAGAGGGAAACGGTGAGTTTATGCAAGTCACGGTTTGTTGGCTTAAAGTCGCCTCCTCGGAGGGCTCAGAGGAGTAAGATGGAATCCTCACACAAATGAACTTTTTTCTAATTTTCCACAGGACAGAGTTTTCCTCGATACAATATGCCAGGAGGAAAACCTTCCCAGGTTTACCGATTGCTGTGCTAAAAAGGATCCCGAAAGAAATGACTGCTTCCTCTCCCTTAAAAATTCATCGAGAGGGTTCATTCCTCCTTTTGAAAGGCCAAATGCTGAAGCTGCCTGCAAAAATCGTTCACAGCATCAACATCTGTTAACAGGACAGTAAGTAAATAAACCACAGGTCCGTTGCCTAGACATGACAGTTACGAGCCTGGAGACAACAAATGCAGCATCAACCCAGAAGTTCAGTCTAAGATTCTCTGTCATCTCACACTCATTTTTCTTCCCAATGGGAATTATTTGTGTAATCCATCTAGCTGTAATTGTCATTATGTGAAGCCTGTTCTGCTACCTCCTGCTTTGGATATAGGTCCAAACGACAATCAATCTGGCCGATTTTATTGTGGTCTATGTAAAGGACTCATCTGAAACCGAGGGACTCCTTTCAGTCCTTGAAAGTGAAACAGAAGTTTCGCTGCCTCTAAGCCAGAACTGGCAGGAGTTGAGGCTTCCATTTCCAGGAAAACATCAGCCCCATCAGAATTTTCCAAGATAAACACCACACCATACAGCTTGTCGTGATGACAGGAAAACGATCGCTTTTAGTAGCTATCGTGTTAATAAATGGCAGATGCTGCAGTAACACTCCTACCCCCTGCGTGTAGGGGCTTACTCTGAAACTAAAGGCGTTTTTCTGTTGGTGTTAGTTTTATCTATGAGGTTTCCAGAAGGCATCCTTTCCTCTATGCCCCGACAATCCTTTCTGTTGCTATCCGCTATGATGAGATGACGAAGAACTGCTGCCGAAGTGCTGCCGACCCCACTCACAACCTGGAGGAATGCTTTCAGAGACAGGTACTCCATCACAGGGGTTTAGTTTATTAATGCGCAACCAGGGACTTTCCTATCACTACACAAATACCGAAGCAGAGAGATCAGCCATTTCTATTTCAGCATCTGAACCTGGTATTAGAATCCACCTTGTTAAGGACGAGATGAAACCAGACGCAAATGCTCTCTTGCATCATAGCTTGAACTCCTAAATGAAACTGCCCAACGGTGGGGTGTTGGGGAGATGTAGCTTTGCAGGGAGCCCCGGGCAGTCCCCATGCCCTGCGACAGCATCGTTGCCCACCCCAACTCTGCTGCCTGCACTGGGGTTGCCGTAAGGGTGCCAAGAGAGGACAAGGTGCTCTGCATAGTGCATAAGTCTGGGTTTATTTTTCTCCTGTTCATAGCCCCGTGACACATCTCCTGCTCGGCCAAGCATTTGCACTGCGGAGACGTGCCCCACATGTAACCAGTGTCAAATTCAGAGCAAACTACCTGTAACGGTGGAAACAAAGGATGAGGAACCTGCCCTTGCTGAACGGCTGAACATGCCTTTCACACAGCTTGGCTGGGCTGCAAGTGATGGCGTAGCTGAACATTAGCTCACAGTAATGCAAAGCCGGTCAAGTAGCTCGCAGGTGACGCTTTCTTCCCTTATGCTAGAAACACTGAACCGTTGTCTAAAAGGGTTCTGGTTTCTTTCCACAGAACACTTAATGCTGGGGACTAAATAGCAAGCACAACAGTTAGTTGATATTGCAGCTTGGACAGCATTTTTCTTTCACTATTAAAAAAATCCCTGTTTAAAAACCAATCGTCATAGTAGTTTTGGTGTAAAGCGTTGTCTTTTATTTTCTTCCACTTTCATGGTCTGCATCTTCTTTCTACCAGGCACCAAAGGTGGTGAGGCCAATAAAAGAAGATGGCCTGAGGCAGGAACACACATGTGGAATCTTGAAGAAGTTTGGAGAAAGGACCTTAAAGGCTCTGTGAGTCGTCCCCGTCTTCCTCATTATTCTGAAATAAAGCGTGGATGTCGCATTGAAGCTATTGGCTTCAAGGGACATTCATTTGTTAACTTCAGCGGGAGCAGGGAGGGACCATTCCTGAGCAGTTTAGGTACCCTCTCCACAGAAAAACAATGTCAGCTATCACAGTCTCACACTGTGAACATAAACAATAACTATTTTTCTTCATCGTAGGAAACTTGCTCAGATAAGCCAAAAATTCCCTAAAGCTGATTTTGTTACTGTTAACAAGCTTGTGATGGATATTGCTAAGATGCACAAGGACTGCTGTCGTGGAGATATGCTGGACTGTATGCACGATAGGGTAAAACTCATTTAATATTTATATGTTTGCAGAAATTGAATGCATTTCTTTGTTGTTTTCAGTTGGTGTTTTTTCCTCATGTACTGTACTGATTGCTCTCCAAAACTGGAGTTTAACTCTTCATCGTAAAAACCTGGTTGATTTTCCCATTTGACTTTTCCTGGTGTGAAGTCATCAGGAAGGGCTGAAAGATCGCTTTGTGACTAAAATGAGCTAACACTGCTTCGGCAGGTTTGGCCACAGCTCCTAGCTGTGCCATGTGTTTTCTGTGCAACTCTCGGCAGAACACGGTGTCTGCCCATCCTCCTTTCTCTGCCGCCTTCTGCCACACCAAAGGCACTTACCTCCCCACCGGCTGTGGTGTCTACCTAGACGGCAAGCTCTCGGCTGAGGTGCCTACCAAGTAGCACCCAGCAAGTGGCAAGCAAGGGGCTGCAGCGCAGAGATCAACAGGACTTCAGTCGTCTTCCTTTTTCTGCCAGGCGTCTGTTGCACACCTTCGGCCAGCCACCTCTTCCCTTCGGGAGTCACCCTCTTTGTAAAATGGAGATAAAAACACTAATCAAAAAAACCCCAAAACCCCCCAAATCTGGTAAAATTTCCTTCATACCCTTTTTTTGCTTTATAGGAAGAGATTCTACACTATGTCTGCACCAGCCAAGATATCATATCAAGTAAAATTAAGAAGTGCTGTGAAAAGCCACTGTTACAAAGAAGTGAATGCATAGTTAACGCAGAACATGATGACAAACCTGCAGACTTGTCCCCCCACGTCAGGGAGTTTATAGAAGACAAAGAAATATGTCAACGTTTTGCCCAGGAGAAAGATACACACTTAGCCAGGTAATGTGGGTCTTCCTCTCCTCTTCAGTTCTGCAGTTTCAATACTTGGGTCAAAAGATGACACTTCGGACATTAAAGCCCAGCTCACCAGCCTCGGATTTGTCTGCTCTGTGAGCATACAGGCATGTGATACTGTGCAAGCCGACCTTAGTAAAAACCACTCAAGCCTCGAAGGTGTGGAACGGGAACAAATGCAGAACAGGGCACGATTGTTACGTCAGAGACAGGACTGAAGAAATGAATGTGAAATTTCGGTACTATCAGTTCTGATCTCAGGCCCAAAACATAGCTTTGATCCGCTCTTAAGTGGGAAATGAAAAACACTTGTTTAAGTCAGACTTGATTCCAACAGGATCGGTCCATTTCTGCTCTGGCCGTGTTCCTCTGCGCAGTGAAGCCCTGATCCTACCTGTAGTAAACTTGGGCAAGAATGCCACGGGCTGCAACAGAAACAGCATCGAGTCCCAGAGAGAGAGGATTCACTTCAAATAACACACATCACTGCCGTTTGTGCCAAGTGCAGTTAACTGATCAGGCACGACTGCTGTGTAGGGTGACTGCTTCCACCGAGCTCATCTTCTCAGCGTCTACTGCGAAATGGCTCTGTTACTGGAAATTATTTCGTTATCATTTAGATAGGATTAAAAGAAGAGGAAACCCCCAAGCCCCACAAAGCTCTAAGCTGTGCCTGACCCAGGCTAACACTGAGCTGGGACCGTGACACGCACCGCAGTCGCTCAGGCAACGCTGTGCTCGGTCAGCCACGTCTTGTTCAGGCTCAGCCCCAGGCTGAGATGCTGCGAAATTCTCCCTGTTCCACTGGACCCAGACAAAACCATCCCGAAAGCACCCCTGCCATCCTTACCATCCCTAGCCTCTCCAGGGCAGTTGTTTTGGCTTATCTCTAATTCCTGATACTCCACATATTGCAGGTTTCTTTACGAATACTCCAGGAGACACCCTGAATTTTCTGCTCAAATGCTTTTAAGAATTGGTAAAGGCTATGAGGACCTACTGAAAGAGTGCTGCAAAACCGGTGCTCCAGACAACTGCTGCAGCAGAGGGGTGAGTGCCGTCGGGCGCCGCACAACACACGGATGGATTCAGGCATCTGACCACGTCACTGGTCCTCCCTAAATAGTCGATATCCCTGCTCCAGGTCTAGAGCCACAGCTCCTGTAAGAAACCTATCAAATATTACAAGGCCGACTGATTCCTGTATGGAATAAAGCATCAACAGAGCCTTCGCAATCTTCAGTTGCGAAGCAATTTAACATGGATAGACAGAGATGCTGGGAAAAGGGATGGAGCCAACACTTACATGAGCCCTGCTCTCTTTTGGGCTTCCCAGCAGTACCAGGTGCCCTCCTGCAAACATAAAAGGCACTTATGGTTATCAGCTCAGATAAAGACATCAGCGTTGTAAATATCGGAAGTTAGGAGCCACCCTGTGTCTCAGACCTAGCCTTCCATCAGCTATACAAAATCAAGTATTTCAAGGTGATTGAAGGTGGACATTTATCACATTCAGGCAGTTTAGAGAGGTTTCAGACAGATGAAGACTTCCTAATGGAATTAAAAATGGGTGGTAGGTATATATCAGATGAGAGGTAGCTATAGATGTCCAGGCCTTATCATGAGGCAGTAGGGCATTCTGTATTCCTCTGATACAATGACTCCTCAAATTAACGTATTTTTTTCAGGAGGAAGAACTGAAGAAACATATTTATGAAACTGAAAGCGTCATGAAGACAAGCTGTGACATTTACAAGGAGAAAGGAGATTACTATTTCCAAAACGAGTATTATTTTTTTATATGCTTACATTGCTCCTGTACCAGCTGGGCACAGCTCAGGCTGCAGTAAAGCCACGCATGTCAAAAAAGCTAGGCTAAAAGACACCACTTGAATATTGGACCAATATATTAATGGTCTCTAGGATTTTTATTTTTTTTCCTCTTTTCCAAGACAATGTCCCGGCTTTCATGAGTTTTCTTAACGCAACTCATGAAGCGGTGAAGCGACAACTTGATCAATCTCCTGCCCGTGTTTCGTATGATTTTCCAAGATAATGTCCCGGCTTTCATGAGTTCTCTTCTTAACGCAACTCATGAAGCGGTGAAGCGACAACTTGATCAATCTCCTGCCCGTGTTTCGTATGATGTTCTTGCTTTGTAGATGCATTTTGAGTTGTAAGCTGTAACTTAAGAGTCATAAATTTGGCCAAAAGACAGTTGCTGTGCCTTTTGCAAAAGACTTTGCTCTATCCAGCACATGTAAACAATAACAAGCGTAACAAAAATCTAACTACAGTATCCAACACATGTAAACATTAACAAGCGTAACAAAAATCTAACTACAGTAGAGAGAGCAAAATCAGGCTAGCTAAACCATATGCTATGCTTGAATGCAACATGCAGGCACAAGCCTCCTGGACAGAGCAAAACCAGGCTAGCTGAACCATATGCTATGCTTAAATGCAACATGCAGGCACAAGCCTCCTGGAGGAACTTTGGCCCTGATTTGCAACGTTCATAAACACATGCCCAACAAAGTATGTAAGCAATCTCAGTGAAACCTCTAAACTGCTCAGGCTTCAGCTAGCCTTCTCTGGGGAGATAGGCAGCTTTTTGCACTCCCGTGCGTGTTTGATCTTTAAAAGACCTTTGGAACTAGAGGTTTCCAACAAACCTGGTGGGCTGTTTCTGCTTTTGTATCAGTTGTTAAGGTTTTCCTGGCCCTGGTGGTTAATAAGCACAGCTTTTCAAAAGGAAAAAACAAGTCAACTTTTTTGAGCTGAGCTTCTGCCCTCATCTAGTCTGCCAAGAAGTCACTTGAGTTCAATGTTGCTCTTAGACAAGCCCCGTACACTCCCAGGGAAATGAATAACATGGGAAAAACATACGTACTGTCTCGTAAGAGGGCCTACCAACATATAACCAGCAACGCCATCGTTAGCTTTGTTTGTTTAACCCGGCAAGAGACTGGTCAGAAAAAGGAGAGGGCTCAAAACCAGCACACTTACACTTGCCTACGTGAGTTTTTAAGCGCCAGGCTTAGTCCTGCCCTTGTACTAAGAAGTGTTCTGTGGGGTTTGGCTGGAGCTTTACGCATGCAAAGGTAGTGGCTTGCTTACTGCTGCCTGGTGGAACAAAACCACTGATATCAAAGAAATTATCATTTCAGGCTTCTCATGAGCTTCACCAAGAAGATGCCTCAGCTGACATCTGCAGAACTGATAAAATTCACCAAGCAAATGACTACAATCGGCTCCAAATGCTGCCAGCTGAGCCAGGACAAGCTACTGCCTTGTGCTGAGGAAAATGTGAGTATTTTTCTTCTGTACCTTGGTCCTACTTTTTCTTGAAACTTTGCTACAAATTCTGCAGCCAGCAAAGTCCAAGAGCTTGGAGCAAAGGGAAATGAGAAAAATGTGCACTGAGCTATTGAGCTGGCCTGAAGATGTACTTCCATGCCTGAAGGAAGCATAGCTCAGCATCGCTGAAGTTAATGCTTGAATTACACTACAGGAGGATCAGGAAATTGTCAGCTAGCGCTAGGCAGTTAACAGTTATGCAGTGCAGGCAGCCCGGCCCTGTTACCTCTGGAGGTGATGATCCCTTGTCTGAGTTCATCCTTTCTAGACGTCTGAAGCTGTAGGGTTCTATGAAAAGGACCAATTTTATATAGCTCTTCCGTAAGAATTCTCAAGGTCCATAAGCCAAAGTATTTGAAAAGCTTCAGCCTGTCCTCCATCTGCCCATTTGTCCAACGTCACGTTTACAAGAGCAGCCGAGCATGCCCACAGAAACCCTGCTGATGAAAACAAACCCAATGCAAGCACAGTTTTACGGAGAAATCACATCGTTTCTATGCGCAAATGACAGTCCCTAAAACCGCATATACGTATTCGTTCTGAAAAATCTGAGCCATTTGTGCACTGACAAAAGTCAGCATTCAGTGGAAATATAAACTGTTATCTATCTTACAAACAAGGTTTAATTTAAATTCTTGGTTATTTTTTATAACTTTACTAAGAGCAGCATCTATGTCAGGGACTTCTGAAAATTAAAAAATAATGTAAAATTGTTTTTTTTCACTTCTCTTGCTAAAGCTGGATCTCGTGCTTGGAGAAATATGTAGACGACACCTGACGAATCCTATAAACCCAGGAGTTTGTCACTGCTGTAGTAGCTCCTATGCTCTCAGGAGGCCATGCATGGGGAAACTAGAAATTGATGAGAGTTACGTGCCCTTATCATTGACTCCTGGTCTGTTCACTTTCCATGAAGACTTGTGTACGACTGAAGAGGAGAAGTTACAGCACAAGAAGCAGGAGTAAGACATGCCTGGTTTACTCTGTTACCCCTGTGTTGTTTCTTTTTATCCTGGCAATACTCACCTTTCCCTTCTCCACCCTGGCTGGCCTTCTTGTTCTGCAATATGCCATCGGAAAAACAGCCGTACACCCCTCAGCCTCTCCTCCAAGCTCCTTTTCTTTCCTCTCACGCTAGTCCCAGTTTCTTCCGCTCTCTGGTTCAACTTACGTTTACTTGCCTTTGATTAGAAGAAAGTCATTTTCAGAGGTGAGCGGCGGCACCGGTGTACACACCAGCAGCATGGAAGCAACGGGTGTCCAAAGTTGGGTCTGATAAACAAGTCCTCCCGCCCTCCGTTATGGGGCTGCACAGGGCACTGCATGAAAAGAGACCAGAAGGAGAGGGAAGCTACTGCCTGAAGTACTGCATGACCTTTACGGCTTGCTTAGGGCTCCTTGCCCAGAACGGGAAAGCCCGTACATTTTTCCTCATCCCATGCACTCCTTCAGTCTCTGAAAAGCTCTGGTGTTTGGTTGCCTTTGTCAGACAAAACTTGCATGCTGGACCCCCCCGCTCCCCCGCAGTCACTGCAAAAACACCTCTTTGGCCGTTAACTTGCGCTGTGGTGAGCCCATACCGTCCTGCACCCTCGGGGGCGGTGCACAACACGTCAACCATCTGCGTGGTTTATTCACGGATATTCATGGCGGAGCAACTCCAAAACCGAGCACTGATATTTTCTTTCCCAGGGGAACGGGGGGCGCGTCTTTGCTCCCTGCTGCAAATACGTATCTGGGTGGTCAATAAAAATGGAAAAGCTGTAGAAAGGAAGCGGGTAGTAACAAAACAGGGATTTTGCAGCAGTAGCGTTTGAGAAACGCTTTGTAAGCCGTGTGCTTACCTCCCAGCTTCACAGGGCTTGCCTTGCTTTCCTTGCAGGATGCTCATCAACCTCATCAAATACAAGCCCCAGATCACACAGGAACAGCTCACCTCCGTCACGGCCGCCTTCACTGCCATGAGGGAACAATGCTGCAAAGAAGAAAACCGCGAGGCGTGTTTTGCAAGAGAGGTATCCTTTCTGTGCTCACCCACGCACTCTGCGTCAAAACGGAGGCATGGATTATACGCCAGAATGTAAATTTCTCCATTAAGCAGCAAACCCAAAGCCTGGCAAGCCAGAATTCCTGCAGTTACATTTCCAAAGACAAACTTTATGGCCTGCACAAGTAGATATGTGTACCAGCTAAATGATCACTAGAGAACTGATCTAATTAGTCTGGTGTTTATGTGCAGCAATGTATAGATACAGAGCTCAGCTACATCTGTAGCTTCTGGGGAGTCACTGGGACTTGCGCTGTCGGAGGATACGGGCAAAGGTCTTTCCCTGGCGTTAGCTGTTAAGAACTGTTAAGTTCTTAGCTGAACTGCTCTTGGAAAGTTCCTCTGCAATAGGGAGAGAAAGGACATATTCAGATTTTAGGCCAAAGCATTTTCCCTATTTATTCTCCCTACCTCTGTTTTCCTCTTGCCTTTCCTATGTTATTTTAGCTCACTGAACTTCATACTGCAGAGCTACTTTGGCTTCTCTCTACCCTCCAGTAAATCTGCTTTTGCCTACTTCTCATCTCTCTCTCTTCAATATAATCCTTAACTGAACTCTAACAAACCATTTGTGACCCTTCAGCCTTGCTCTCTCTTTTCCTAAGTCGTTGCCTTGCTTTGCTTTAAATGATAAAACACAGAAAATTCTCTCTTTTATTAATAAGAAATTTCCACCTCTGAATGCACCCCAACAGCATATCTGCAAAGAAGCATTCTACTAACTCTTCCTAATAAAACCGTATTTCAGTATTTTTCCACAAATACCAAACCTTCTAAGGCAATCTAAGCCGAACAGTAAATGCAAAAGGTACATTAAAAGTAGTGATATATGTATATGCACTCCGCATATACAGTGTTTATACACAAATTGCAAGGATTATAAAAACATTACCTACTGCTGCCATAACTATTTAACTTGTTCACAAGTACACCATCTTCCCGACTTTACTGCTCATAGATATTTTCCTTTTTTTTTTTCAGGGTCCAGAACTTATAAAAGGAAGTGAAAAAATGCTGTCAGCATAAAGAGCTTGCATAGCATGTTGGAAGATACTTGCTGAATGCTAGGAAGTCGCCCAAACTGAACAGCGAGCGTATCTTTTCCAAACGGTCATGCAGTATCAACAGGAACATAGGATTTGTCATAGTGGAGAAAACTATGTGGTGGCTCTTTGCTCACAAATCTAACAAAGTCATGACGGTTTACACCAGCTACAGTTCTGCCACTGTCTGATCTGCCGCTGTCAACAAGGCAAAAGAGGCTCCTCAGCATAAAACATCAAATTCCCACAGAGAACCTGCTGAGCTGTGGAGCTGTAAACCTGATCCGCTCGCAGAGCTCAGCTTACCTGAAAATTAAATGTGCTTCTCCGTTTTATTCAGATGGGGAGAAACCCGTACGCAAATTTCATCTCTGGCTCCTATCACTTTGATCCAAAATGATCAAGGATGTGTAAAATTTAAACCAAAACAAGTAACGTAAAGCCAGTTTAAGTCCAGACAGAGGGTGCACCACCTTAAAGAAATCCACCAACAGAGTAATTTAAACGGATGGAAATTCAGAGTTTAGATGTGGCCACCATCTTATCTTAGGGAATATTGGAATATTATTTTCCTTATACAAATAGTCACAGACGCAAAAAAAAGGCATTTTAAATCTTAAGCTTACGAAGCATAAATGTAAATGAGATCAAATTAAGAAAATCTGCCTGTAAACACTTCTAAATTATTTTTCAATCATCAAATAATTATTTTTGCATTTTTATACATACATGCCTTTGAAACATAACACATGCAGTCACTAATATGGGCTGCCCTAGGGAAGTTGTAAAGTTGCCTTTAAACACAGAAAAATACTATCTTGGGCATCCCAAACATGGTGAGAAAGAAGATGTCCTGGAAAGGACAGAACATGGACTGCCAAAACACCTGCTCAGCAGGCAGCTGTTTAGAGACAGCCCTGGGAGCCTGCCGAATTTACACTCCAGGTGCTTTAACACACAAACAGCTTTGGGGTTTTTACTTTCTTTTTACATTAAAAGACATTAGAAGGCATGTTAAAAATCACACGTCGCAAACAGTACTAAAAGAAAGAAATACTTTTCCTGGAAACCTTCGGCTTGAAGGAAGAGACACCCAGGTATCAGGTTCTTTCGGTGGATGTACCTAGCAGAAGTTATCCTAGGAGCGTTTGAAAGTATCTGTAAGATAAAGAAACATTACCTAAACAAACATCTCATAAAATGCAAACCCAGCTTAAGTGTTACCACCAGGGAGAAGGTTTCAGAGTCAGATTGTAAAGGTCGACCAAACCAAGTCCTACTGGAATCTATCCCGTATAAACTCCTAGGCAACATTTTCATTCTTCTTATTTCAGAAATAAGAAGAAAAACCATCCATTAGGTTTGTGGCTGACAGTAAGACGGAGACACACTGCTGCACATCCCTTAGCAACATTTTGTTGTCAAAATTGTCTTGGCAAACTAAAGAAATAGCCTAGAAAAACACAGCTATGTTCTATGAGGACAAATTTAACATATCACATAGGTATGATTAAGCAGCCGCACCATTTCAGTACAGGAAAAGAAAATCACTAGTTTGGGAGTTGTGCGGATATCGACGCAGTTAGAACAAATCACAAGCTGACCAAGAGTCACCAGTGTTTGCTGCTGATGAAAGTCTGAGTTTGTGCTTGCATACCAGGGGTATCAGCAGAAGAACAAGCTATGTAAGACACCTACCATGGTTTCATTTTCCTCACCTCCGGTAAGGACTTTGCCAGAGCATTAGGACAAGTCTTGGGTACCTCACCGCTAGAAAGCATTTCACTGAAAAGAGAACAACAGTCAATGATCCAGAAAACACCAAAAGGAAAGCTAAAATAGATTGGGGGTACCTGTTTTTTTAATAAGAAAGGCGGCAGGAACTTGGAAACCTTCATATACCCAAAAAAGCCTGATCCCAGGACAGAAAGCAGCCAGTCAGCACCCAGTAAGGGGAACAAGGCACCAGGATCGATGGCCTGGGAAAGGTGGGGAGCTGTAAGAGACACAAATATTTAACAGGCTTTACCCAAGCATCAGAGATGTTTCCCCTACCAGAACAATGATTAGATGGCCATCTCAGGCTTCTCTTAGTGCTGTGGTGTCTTAAGATTTGATGTTCTGATGAAGATCAGTCTTCTGGAAGTTGTAGGTGGTTTGGGTTTTCAGCTTTTTTTTGAAATCCAGTGATAACTTTGGATTTTTCTCATGGGGTAGCTCAGTAGTACAAATTCAGGGAAGACAGATACTCTAATTGCTGTCTTTATGGTTAATAACTTAGGCTTCAAATTCAAAGGCAATCCCCATTTCCTCTGTCACCTCTGTTTTCCATTGCTGTGTTACCTTGAATACCCAATGATGCTTTGGAATAAATTCTTCCCCTGCTCTTATCTGTATTTGTGAGAAATGATTCATTTAAATGAGCACAGAATTCACAAAGAACTAATACCACAGCCAAGCTGCAGCTTTATTTCACTAGCCCTTAAAACCCAGCAGACTCCAGATAATCTGTGCTATGTTCCATAGTTATTTTCCAGCATCTTTCATTCCCAATTCAGAAAAAAAAAATAAAAAGGATTCAAGTATTTAACATCAGATGGTGGCAAAAATGGCTTAATTTAGGAATTGCGTACGTATACAGAAAATTAGAGAAACCTTGCTTGAAAATATTTTCTCTTTTCTACATGGTCTGTGCATTGATTTCTCTTCTACTCTCAGACCAAGGAATTATGAATATTTCACATACCAGTATTTTCATACTGCACCTTCATACAACTTCTCAAGCATTTACAAAGCAGAACACATAACAGAAATAGCCCATTTGCATAAAAATACTTAAATATCTTTCTCCTGGTCCAAATGAGAAACAGGTGCTGCAGCACCCACAGAGGTCCCTGTAGCACTTGCTGTTGTCTCAGGAGCGCAGACTGCTCTTTCCCCTGCTCATGAATTTGAGCTTTCTGAAAATTGCTTTGTAAATGGATTCTGACCTGTTCCTTACAGTAATTTAAGCAGAACAAAGCCAGAAATGCAGACCAAGAGCTCTGTTCCTGTCCTGACTCTAGCACCATTTCCATGTGCTCCAACAGAGCCAGCTGGGGCTTGAAACACATCTGGCTTCGGAGGAACCAAAAACTCCATCCATGCCTTGGCTGGAACCACCAACTTCTGCTTGGGTTTGGCCGAGAGCTTGACGGGGGTCTACTTCAGACTTCACTGCAATTTAACCTTACCTCACAAGTATGACCTGTGATGGTTTAGGGTGAGATTTGTACCTCCTAAAAGTTGGCTAATGTGTACATGAATGGCTCCCTGGGGAAGTTTCAGTGACACTTGCGTGCACAATTTTGTTCCTTCAAGGAACTTATACTTGCACCTCTAAGGTAACTCTTATTTAATACCAGGCATCCTAACTGCTGAATTATTTTTCTTTGCTCCCTTGCCCATAATTATTTTCCTGGACTGGACTATAAGAGACTGTACATTAAAATGAACCCCTTGCCCCAACCACGATACCTTCAATTGGCACATTGACTTTTAATTTTTAAATTACCATCCAAGTAACATCATCTTGGGCAGTGTGAAGGTTTTCATATTTGATTTATTCCACATGATTTCTAGGCAACATTTTCTGCACATTTATCTCCTCCCTCTCACAGTGCTTATTTTGTTACCTGCATAAACCAAAGGTAGCAGAGGCAAAACACAGATACCGTGTAAAAAAGACAAACTAATACAGGAGGGCACATTGGGGGTTATTTGCATCTCTACAATTTGAGCTTTAATATTCACAGCACGACTCAGCCAGACAGGACCCGATAGCTGGCTGCTGGGCGCTGCATCAGGGCCAGGCTGTACCAACACTGCATCTGTGGGAAGGCTGCCAGCCCAAGCCTGTCACGGCCGAGATGTTCAGACTCTCGCACTGAACGCTTTTCATTTCCATCTACGAATATAAACCACAAGAAGTCACATGGAATCACTTGTCTCAACAATAAATGCTGAGGTGCCTTCCAGAACCCAATCAAGCAGACGCAACACTATTTAGCGAGAGTTCTTACTTTGCAGTTCAAAAGATATCTCAGAGATAAATTCCCTCTTATGTTTAAGAGCTGAGTAGCTATTAAGTGGGAGTGTTTCCATTTATATTTTTCTAACTCTAGCTCAAAGCTTAAGCAAGTCAGGCATCTACCAGTCTGAAGCCAGTGGGATTTCAGGTCTGTCTTGCAGAGTTTTGGGTTTTGTTCATTTATTTTTAAGATAAGTGAAGAGCCTAACTGCAATCTTAGATACATAAATACCTTTTGGTACTTATCTCTGAGAAGTTTCCTCCTAAAATAATTCAACATCCCTAATAGAAGGAAAACCATATGCTTAATCATATAGAAAATGTGAACATTAACACATTGTTATTGCAACATTTTTCTTATATGCTAGACTTTTGGTAATGGCTTGTAAAATAGTAGGTTTTAAAGCCTCATGCTTTTCACAGGATTTTTTTTCCTATCTTAATTTTCAAGCTAGATTCAGCATCTGTATTTTGGGGGATCTAGTGCATCTTCTTAGGTGGTTCCCAACTTGTGTTCCAGAGCTGTAGAGGAGCGGGTTCAGTTTCAGTGGCATAACTATCAAGAGAAACTTCAGCACTTTGAACTCCTGCGCTTTAAGTGCTCCTCAGTCATGGCACATTCGAGCAAACATACTGACTTCCCTTTGGCAAAGGCGGTGCGTGGGGTATTCGCAGTAGGCTGTTCACATCAAACAGTAGTCTCTGTTTTTTTAACAGTTCGGCTATGAAGATGCTGGCGTATCATACTCTTCTCTTTTAGGTACCTGAGATGAAGAAAGAGAGAATTCAAGTAAGTAACAGAATCGTGCAAAAATTCAAACCCAAATACTAATATGCTAGTTGGATGACTAGAAAAATCTTGTAATGAATGCTTTTCTGATAGAAAATGGCAGTTGTTATTTATTTTTTTTCCC